GTTGGCTGGGCATGGTGGTGCACACCTTTGATCCCAGTACTTGGGAGGCAGAGGCAGGTGGATCTCTATGAGTTGGAGGCCAGCCTGGTCTACTTGTCAAGTTTCATGCCAGTCAAGCCTGCATAGTGAGATTCTGTCTCAGAATAAAAGGAATTGACATGAAAGGACTGTCATCTAGGGACAGACAGGGGCTTGGAGAATGACCGTGGAGGAAAGAGATGAAGTGAGCAAGCTATATATGTCTGAAAATGCCACAATGGAGCTTTTCTTTCCATGGCACACCAACTTTAAATATTAAAATAATTCAGGGCATTTTATTTATTTGCACATCTTCTTACTCACTGGGCTTGTTCTCCAAAATTTTCCTGCTGAAATAACTTGACCACTACAGCATTTAAAATGTTATTTCTTCTATTTGTATTTCAAAGGTCAAGACAGTGAACTGCAAGCCTCTTGACTATACAATTTGACAGTCTTAGCATACACACCTCGTATGTACCCTTTGTTGACAATAGTCTTAGCATATGCACCCCATATCTACCCTTTGTTGACAAACAAGTTTCTGTGACCCCGGAAGTTCCCTTGAGTCCCTTTCCCTCCCAGCAAACCTCCACAACTTGACCGGTATTGTTGTGAATCCAGCTGAGTCAGGTCACTCAGTCATGTTGAATGGGTTTCTAGATTCATCTCCGTTGTTTGCTGATCTGCTCCCTGTTGCTGAGTCACCTTCCATTTTAGGACCAGACTCCAGCTGTGCTTCCGTGACCTGTTAATGGCTGTTTGGACTGTCTCCAGTTTGGAGCTATTATGAACGAGGTTGCTATTAATACTAGTTTTGAGTATTTCTGTAGAAATGTTCACTTCTCTTGGGTATCTGAAAGTAGACTTTCTTAGCCACAAGAAAGGTGCATATTGATCTTTCTGAGAAACCGCTAGGTCTTATTTGTCTGTCCTTTAAGTGGTTATAGCAATCTACACCCCCACTAGCAATATATAAGTTTGGGTAGCTCAGCATCCTCCACAGTATTTGGAATTATTTTTTGATTTGGACATGCTGACCATGGCAAAATAGATTACTATTTTAATTTTCACATTCCCGGTGACTACTGACAATTGTCACCTTTCAGGTGACTATGTGCATTTTGCTTATCTTCTTTGATAAGTGTCTGTTTAGGTATTTTGACCAGTTTTGAAAACCTTGATTTGTGGGAATGATTTACATATAGAAAGTCCTTTGATTTAAGTGTTGCGGAAAAATCTCTTCCCAGTTCATGGCCTGCCTCTTCTCCATCTTGTCCTATCTTTTGCTGAGTAGAAGCTTGTTTCTAATGCTAATAATGTTTACTTTTATGGCTAGCACTTTTCATGTCCTTGCATGACATCTTTCCCCCATTTTTTCTTGAAGATTGAAATACTTTTTTCTTTTTTAGTATTTATGATTCATTATAAGTGTTGCGCATGAATAAAAGGCTACACCCCCTCCCCATTCTGGGCATTAAGCTGCCACAAGATTGTCTATTGAGAAGATTGTCTCCACTCTCCTGAGTTGCTTTACCATATGGCTCTGGGTCTATTTCTAGACCCTCTGTTCTGTTTCAACGAGCTAGTTCTCTATTTATTGCTGACACTCTACGGTCTCCTTGCTCTTACCATGTTCTCTGGGAGTCTGCATGCCATGTAGTCAGCATATTAAGTGTGGAGAACTCACACATCTTTTATTAAGTTTTCTATACACTGTACAGTGTGCTTTCAGTAATATTTTATTAAAATTAAATGAGCTCGTTTCTAGTTCTGCTAGATTGTATTTCCCCAAATGGCTGCAGCAATGTTTCCACCTCCCATGCTCTCCCAGCATCTTGTCGCTCTGTCTCCTGCCTGCTTGTGCCGACTGGGCCTTTGTGACTGTCTGGACAACCAGGATGGGGCAGAAGTGGCACACCCTGAGTTCCCAGGCCAGGTTAGGACAGGTGGCCCTGTGTCTTGAACTATCTACTCTTGGAATCCCATCACCTGGTTTCAACAAGCCCAGGAGCAGAGGTCCCAGCAGCAGGCCAGTAGCAGATGCCAGACAATGAAAGGACGAATAGAATAATTGATGGGAGGAGCTCCTTGGTGACTGTCCTGGTTTCACTGGGAAGACAGGGAGCCGCAGCCTACTACGTCTTTATTCTGTGCACAGTTTGGGGACACCACTATCTTTCAAAAAGGAAAGGAACTCTTTAGAAATGAGAATTCAGATAGAACTTAGGGCATCAAAATGTAGCCGTGGAATCTTTAGTAAGAATCTGTCGAAAACAGATTTACAAGATGTGATTTCCCTTCAAAGACCGTTTACCCAATACTGTCAGAATTGACTGTTAGCTTGTTGGTCTGTAAATAACAAGCAAGAAGAGAAAGTATACAAGGAAGGAAGGAGTTAGTCTGTGGACAGGAGGAAAGGAAAGAATCAGGTTGGGTTATAGGCCCACACTGGGATATTTTGATTGACATTTTCTTTCAATGTGCTGTATGCATGTCCTTTTCTTTTTTAAATATTGCATATGTATAATAGTCACACGCACTTGAAAAGAAACTGTTCTAGGGCTGGTAGCTTAGTCAATTTCAGTAATGCTGGCTCTCCCCAGGCATCATTCCTCCTCTGACAGGCTGCTCTGTTCTTGACTTGGGAAAACCTGCAGCCATGGCCAATGAATTGAAGCAATGATCTTGAAGGTAATGTCATACTGCTTCCAAAAAGTGGAATGACACACACCTCCCAGACTGTCCTATTGCTCTGGATTTTGTGCCCGCTTTTCTTACCCCTTGCTGTTGGGTCTTCTATACGTCTAGCCCAGACTGGGCCAGGACAAAAGGGTTTCTGTTCAAAGTCAGCACCGGTTGTGTGTGATTCATATAGCCATAGGATTCTATGCTTAGGAAATGATGGAATGCTGCTCATTGCTTTGTTTTCTCCTGAGTGCCTATGATTCCTTTTAGTACCTGGATGATGGGACTGAGGTCTGGATTCTGGGGCTGGGGCCAGTCTACTCTTTTCAGCTTTGTAAAAGGCAGCGAGGCGAATTTACCGTGGAGATAAGTGCAACTCCTGTCTATGGCTCGTGATGTGCGGCAAATGAGCTGCCTTAATGCTCCTCCTACATGCGTGAGGGCTCACACCTGTAACCTCCACACTTGGGAGGCTGGGGCAGGAGGATTAGCACCAGTTCCAAATCATCTTGGGCTACACAGTGAGCCCCAGGCCAGCCAGGGCTCCAGCACGGCAAGACTGTTATTCTTCTATATCACCGCCCATCACACTTGTCCAGAGCATTTGGCCAGTTTGGTTACTGGAAGGTACCTAAAAAGTCAGGAACAATAAACTCGTTTTATGCTCTGATTCTGTGAAATCAAAGGACAATCAAAAATAACCATTGCCTATTTTGTTATTGTTCTCATCTAGTTCTCCTCAATTTTTTTTCTTGTTTGGGGAATAATAATAACAAATAAGTTTTCCTTCAAGCCCCTTTCAATATTTTGCTTATTCCTCAGGGCATTATCACAGAAAGTGTATGGAACCAGTAGTGGTCCATTTTTATATCTGCAGTGCCATGGTAACCTAAGCTATGAAAGTACCCTTCCTTGGTCTGGGAGATTCACTGAGACGTTCTGCCACCCCGAACCTCAGCTCAGCACTTGAGACATTTCCCTCTTGGACCTTCCTGCTAAAGATTCGTTTTTTTCTCAGAACCGTGTTTTCTCTGAGGACCAGAGCTGAGCTTTTTTTGTAGGAGGCACAGGGGTCTCTGTGTTCAGAGATAAGCCCTTGGGGAACCTGGAATGTTAAGCACACAGGGCTGTGTCTTCAAGGGATGGAAAGTAAGGCCTGTCCTTGCCCAGAAGGCTGAACGGCTTCTCCAGCCTGGTGACCTTTTGTCCGGTCTCTGTGGCCAGAGACTCCTCCAGGACCAGACCCTGACCACAGACTTGTTTTTCTCAGTCGATCTATAGAACCCATCTGTACTGACTTTACAGAAAATTTTGATGTAGATGCGTTTGATCTGTATTTAGCTGCCTTTGTTTCTTAAGACGATTTGTGTGTGTTTTGCTGTGCACGTGGGACTGAGTTAACACCAGAATAGTTTTCACCAAATTGTGCTGCGCTAAATATGCCTAAAATAAACCCCTCTCCCGCTTTCAGACTCGGGAAGTTTGAACCCACATGGGCTACAGAGTCGTGCTGAGCCAACTGCCTTCCCATCTCCTAAGGCTCATCTCTCTGCAGCCCCCTAAGTTCTCAGAGACACCCCCATTTTTATGCAAAAGGAAAGGCAAAGATCACTTCTGCAAGCGCAGGAGCACAATCAGGTTGGCTGGTTTGTTTTTTGCTTTTTTAGTCTAAGGTCAAGATTTCATCAGACATAGTAAAGATTTAGTTGGTTTCTTCCTCACTACCCCCATGGAACTGCGCTCAGAGGGACTCAGCTTAAACATTAAGGGAAGGGAGAAATCAAACAAAAGCAGGTCGAATGACCTTGGGCCAGTCACCCCTTACCTCTCAATGGATTTGTTTGCCTGTAGAAGGTGCAGTGCGTGTATCGTGGGCGTGGATGTGTGTGGTGGGTGCCCCTTACAGCGTTCTGAAGGACTGACGATTGTGACAAGCCGTGGAGGACAGGGGCTGCAGACCCAGCACTTCTTTGAGTTTCAGGTCCCAGCTTGGAAATGCCTGTTCTGCGCAAAAGACCCAGGAGGACCCTATCGGACTGGATGCAAAAGAAAAGAAGCTGCTAACGAAAAAGGGAAGGGAGTAGGAGGACCCACGGCTGCACAGCACAAGTGACAGGCAGGGGAGATAAGGTAGCCGACTTCCTGAGGCCCAGAGCCGTCCAGGTGCGCCCATCCCCTCCCGGAGCCCGCACCCAGCCCCATAACCCTGCCCGCTCCTCCCGCGCCACCTGCCAGGACTCCGACTGGCGGCGCAGCCTCCTGCGGGCCCCCGCCCCCGCGTTGCCGGGCCAGCGAGGCCGCCGCGGCGTTCGGGGCGCCGCCGCATTGGCCGCTGCGGTGCGGGAGGCGCGGTCGGCGCAGCCTCCGGGCTGCGGGCACAGACTGGAGCGTCCCGCGGCGCTCGCTCTGCCCTAGGTCGGCTCGCCCATGGCCCTGGCTCTGTGGCCCTGGCGCCCAGGCCCGCACGCAGTCTCCATCGCCCGCCTCTGGTTGTCCAGTCCGCCAGCCGCGCGCGATGCTGAACGGTACGGGCCTGGACCAGTCGTTTAAGATGTCGTTGCCGCGGAGGGCAAGGATCGGCGCGTCCGTGGGTGAGCGGGGAGGGTGGGCCACTGGGGCGGGGGTGGCGCACGCGGCTGGGAGACTCTGCTCCGCCCTTCGTCCTGTCCCCTCCCCTGGGCGCCTGGGGCTGCGGGACTCTGGACGCCACGCCCTACTGCCCCCTGGCTGGACGTCCTTGCACCCACCCGGCACTAAGCCTCCTGCGGGAGCGAAGGAGTGGCAAGTGTGAGAAGTCTCAGGCCCCTGGCACCGTTGTGTATGCATGTGTGCGTGTGCATGTGTCCGTGTCTGTGTGTGTGTGCGTGCGTGCGTGTGTGTGTGTGTGTGTGTGTGTGTGTGTTTGTGTGTGTACACAGGCTAGTGCGCGCATATCAGGTCCCTGCGCACTTATACGGTTATGCGGATGCCGGAAAGGACCAAAGCATCAGTTTTCTGCCCTGTCCCCAGTCCTGGAGGGCACAGTTTGGTCACTGGGAGGACTTGTTGCCTCCCAGGCTGTCTGCTACAGAGACTTAAGGGAAGCAGAAGGTTACTAAGAGTGTTGTCACCACCCGGGGCCCAAGTGCTCAGGCTTATACTAAGGACCGAGAGGCTTAGGCTTACATTACACGGGAAAGCTGCGGGAAGCTGTGGAGACTTGATGCATTCATAAACACCCTCTGGCAGCGGCTTGGCTGGGATTGGAAATACAGCTTCCCCAATTAGTCACTTTAGATGTTTTTGTTGTTTAATACTCTTAGACCAGGCACATCCAACGCTCTGTGGCTACAGCACTTGATAGGTGACCTAGATGCTTATGTGTTTCAAAACTGGAGGGGGAACCTCCAAAATAATGCCCTGTCTTGCATTTCAGGCCTCCTTGAAAGGAGTCTGGGTAGATCTCTGATGCAGAGGGTTCAAGGTTTAGGTTCGGAGTTGAGGATTGTGTGTTTTGAGATCATAGGCATATAAAAATAAATGACCTTTCCATTTCCACTGTTGAGCAATGTAAGGGAGAAGAAACTCATTTTAGCTAGTGTTTGCTCAAGTTGGGCAGTATCAGGACAGCGTCACATTCCTTTAGAGCAGAATCCTTTCCTGAAAGGGTCACTAGGCAACACACCAAGACTACGAGGTGGGGAGTCCCAGGGGCATCAGGGTGTAGTGTCAGAGGGACAGCCTAGGTGCCAGCAGAGGGAAGGAAGTGTGTGCTTTTCAAAGCAGTGCCACGGATGCAAGGCTTTGTGAAGAAAGAAGCATCCCCGGATGGGAAGGGTACAGAACTTCTTCTTTGGGGGAAGAAGGGAGAATGTAAATTTAGTTTTGATCATGTCCCATCAGAGATGAGATGCCCACTGGAAAGCAGAGTGGGGATGGATTGGATTATGAGCCTGCGTTCACAGTCAGAGATCTAACTTTCAGAGTGCTCCCCAGGATGCCTCAATGGGTACCTCCCTGCATGTATGCGGGGCCTCCTCCCAGAAGAGCCCCTCTTTAATGTTCTGCATTGTTTAAGCTTCAGGTCTTAATTTCTGCACAGGGGCACAACATCTCATTGTTCACTGCCCCCCCAAATTATGTAACTAATACCAGAGGATTCTGAAGGTGTCCTGAGCATTCCAGTATTTTCAAATTTGGAGGGTCTTAGGGGCAACAGAAAGGGACTGGAATAGGATGTACCGGATCCCAGCAAGTCGGGAAAGCCGCCAAGAACTCCAGAAAGAATCTGGGCATTGATGCTTGGCTTCATCTGTGGAGGTCACTGGTGCCCTTGGAAGAGCTGCTATTGTATAACTGTGGGGCAAAATAGCTATTAGAGGGGGTGCAAGAGAGGAAGACAGGACTTGAATACAGACTGTCTATGACACTCTTTAGGGAAAATTTTGCAGAAAATGGAGGGAAAAGCAAACAGAGTGGTAGCTATAGAAAGTAAATTCCGGGGAGGACGCTTTGCAGACTGACTGCCTGGTCCAGCTGTGCAATAGTATGAACACTCAGTCTAGAGTTTCTCAGTGGTCTGTGGTGTGAGCACCAGTAAGGAGCAGGGTTCAGAACTCAGCAGTTTAGAAAGAAAGGTCTAGGAGTTTCTGAAGGTGGAGGGCTTTGGGACCTTGTTGATGACAGGTGTGGGATGCCAAAGAGAAAATGTGTGGCTTTACAAGACGGGTCTATGTAGAGCACATAAATCATGGATGGGCAAGAGGGAGGCTGGGGTGGAAACCTGGGCAAAGACCCTGACAATTGCCTACTCCCATAAAGTAGAAGGGACATGTGACTTTTGAAGAAGCCTGCTGCTTCTCATTTAGTGCAAACTAGCAAAGGCAATCTGAGGCTCATAGCTCCTTCAAGATTAGGTGCCACACAGTCGAATGTTTACTAAAGCACTTCCGGGATCGTTACTTCTGGTGACTGTACCTTGGACTCCTGTCTTCCTCTGGGTGCCCTGGCGTACCTTTGTCTGCTCCTTTCTGCAGCCAGCTGTCATTCACCAAATGATGGGGATCCAAAGACCAGTTGACTTTGGTTGGCTGTAACAAGAGTTCCTGGATATGTATTGACCACCTTCCATGTTCCAGACACTTCAGGGCTCTGGTGATGGATCCCTGGATAGTATAGGTGCTCTCTGGATGGAGCCCAAGGTCTAGGGAAGAGTCCAAAGCATACTGTCAGAGCTCTCAATCATACCCAGCCTTGAGTCTACGTGCACAGGCAATGCACACAGTTGAACAGGGAAGTGAAGCACACATGTGTGTATAGGTGTGTGGGCAGTGGCATGGGGGAGGAGGACAGAAGGGAAGGGAGAGCTGTGTTCTGGGGACGACAGCATTCGTGTTCTCCAGGGTAGAAGCTTCTTTCCTCTTGCTGAGTTTCTGAATTTGGCTTCATGAAAGATTGGCAATAAAGAGCAGGCAGACAGCAAGCCCAGGGCCTGTGCCTTTAATTAGATTAAATACAGGACCTGGATGGCTTCAAGTCCTACTGAGGATGCCCTTGCAGGTCTGTTCCAACTTCTTTATCCAAACCCTTTCATCTCCCCTGGCCTCTTCAGGTCAGTAATGTGTTTTGTTTGTCTGTTTGACTGGGCTCCTGTGTGGGCCTAGTTTTCTTGCATCTCCTGTAACTGCCTGCCCTGAGTTTTAAAGGAAGGGGGTGGGGACAACAGAAGATGCCAGAAGCTATGATATAGAATCTAAGAGCTGGTAGATGGCACAGAAATGCTTTAATCCCTTCCACTTTACAGTAAACTATTTCAGAGCGGCTGGTTCATTTCTAGCAGAACCAACTAATTTCCAAGGCCCAATGGTGCGGTTCAGGATCAGTTCCAGTCCAAACAGGGCACGCTCATCCTACACGGTTTCCTCTGCCCTGGTAGAAAATAAGGCGGACACGGGTCTCATATCCCTCGCTTCTGTGGTCTGCACTACCCAGTGGGCACTCTACACACAGACTTAAACCATCTCTGTCCTAGATACTTTTGTACTTGACCTGAGGGTCTAGATTATATTTGGAAGTTCTTGGAGACAGCGTCTGTTGGGGGTAGATACCAGACTAGGTTTAGAGAGAAATAGGTTCAAACTTTGAAATTGTCTTCTGCTACCTATGGGCCATTTTTTTACTTACATTATAGAATGAGGATGTGAAGAAAGAGTCTCCTCCCCAGAGCTCGTGTGTGTGTGTGTGTGTGTGTGTGTGTGTGTGTGACTTGCATAGCACAACAGTGCACATATTAATTACTGGATGCACGATCAAGTAAGACAGTCGCTAGTTCTTAGGTTGCCCATCACAACCTGATATGGTCTCCTCTACCTAGACCCCTATTTCAAGTAATACAGAAGCGGGGACATCTTCAGCTGTTGGATTTTCCCCTCTAAATCTAATGATGGCTTACCCAGAATGTGGCTGCATAAAGGTATTTCTAGGTTTGCATGACACAGAAATCCATACTCACCAACTACCCAGATCCTACCCTGTCCGTTCTCTAGTGTCTGACAGTTGTCACCTTCCCTACACTGTCCTGTCTTATGCCTGGAGGTGGCCACGATGCCCTTAATTTGATGACTTTAGTTGTTTAATAATTAATTCACTTTTACAATGGCTGCTTTATCTTAAATCCTCATCTGATCGAGGTGCCAGCTAGACAGATGGATTACATTAAAGTTATTCTCTTAGAACCTTTGGATGGTTTATGAGAGGATGTTCAGACAGTGCCTCTGAAGCCCCTTGTCCCTGGGGCTTTTCACATTTGCTAAATATAACCCCTGGTCAATCGCACAGAGACAAGATGTTATTTACATCCTATTAGGCCAGTGAAAGTGCCTAGGGCAAATGTTAACAACCACTAAGAAAGGCTAAAAATAAAAGTGAGCTCACACTCACGCCCTGGCAGCTTCTCCATATCATTGTCAAGGGCAGACACAATGCCTAACCTGCCGCGTGGCGCTGGGACAGTTATGTCCGTGTCCCTCCCAGGCTGTGTATGCACTTAGGTGTGTCTATGAGAGTGCATCCAGGTCTGGCGCGTCCCCTTGTTCTAGGGACTTTAGAAGGGTGAGGCATGTAGATTTCCTGAAACCCGATTTGGGACAATGTGGACCATTCCGCGAGAACTTGTGTCAACAACAAAAATATAATAAGAGAAACATACATATGATAATTGGCCATTAACATCAGTGTGGTGGAGGGCTCAATATGCCGGCCTGCTTCCTTACTCCTGTGTGTGTCCTGTGTCTGTGCTCCTTGCACTGAAGGAGTATCTCTCACCTGCTTGTGAAAGAAAAATGGGTATGTCGTAGCTTCTCCTAAAACTGTGGCCTCATCTTCGCTCATTTTGATTCAAAGATTTCCGCGTTTGGAACGTAGTTCCCTGCATTTGAGTTATTGTGTTGGGCAATGAGCACGCGTTCATTTCAGACATTCTCAAGGAGCATCTGAGCACAGCTTCATCGCCAGAGACACCACGTCAGCCAGAGGCAGAGGGTTCCCAGGATTACTGTAGATGTTTCAAGCACATCACTGAGATTGGTTGTGCAGAAAACTGGGGCAGCAAAGG